TCAGGTAGTGTATGTTTTAGTAACCATTTTATGTAAATCATCTGTAATTTATATTTTAAATGTAGCTATTACAAGTAGTTTTTTATATTATATTGCATACAAAGCAAGCCTTCTGACTTGACAATAAACATTATTCTTGTTCAAGCATCAATAAATGATTTATTTAAAAGGAAAATTTAGTATTTTTTTCACATCTGAAGAAGTTACTTCAACAAAGCTGTGACAATTGAAATTGTATGTTAACGTCATCACGAAAAAATGTGTCACTTCTTGGGGATGAGTCTGTCTGTCTGCCTATTTGTCATCTGTCTATCAAATGTCTGTTTGTCAAATAACCATCGGCCTTATAAGCGGAGAACAACAATTCAATATTAGTAACTAAGACACGGCTATACTATGGCAAATATATTCTACGTATGTTCGTATCTCCTTTGAGTTATGCAGTGTGCACTGGATAGCTCTGATTAAAGTTCTGATTAACCGAACATCATGATTAACCATAAACAGTCAGCTGGCGTGAAATTATGATTGGGAGCTTTTTGGTGGGTGCCCCGATACCGCGTATATTTTGACAAACGGTTACAGTGATGGCGGTTGTTCTGCCGTTCTGTGCAGGCCTGCACGGATGTGCATTTTCATTGGAGCATACCAAATGAGCATTCAATCAACAGATTAACATTTACGAGCATCGAGAGACTGGAAACCGTGCACTCTCTCACTCATCCAGTGGTATAAGTACAGGGTGAAACTCACTCACTGTAACTTGATGACCTGATACCGAAAATGAAAGGAGTAGCAAACACATCGTACGCCACTGCTGGCGGTCGGCCATCTTTCCTTAAGAAACTTTTTAATTTGCGAATTTTTGCGTCTTTGTAATTTTAGAAATGAGGCACTCATTTCAGGATCTGAAGTTTTAAATAAGGTGATACATACATAGATCTAAATGTCAGGGAAAGCTGTTTAAAGTAGTAGAGCGCTAATTTTGATGTTTTTTCCACGACTGGACGGCAAGGTGTACAACTCATTCCACATCCCGTTTCAGTTTCAGTTTAACTGTGACTTCAATGTCAGGTTTGACCTAAAACATTTGTTAACTTGAACCAGAAGACCAATTACAGGTTGACTAGAAAGTTATAGTTAGATGAACACATCAGTTGAGAAGTAGAAGCAGCGTTGCCAGATCAACAGTTACGGGTTTGTTTTACAGAACTTGAAAACGAATTTACGGAAAATTTACTAGTTTACCAATTTTGAAAGTTGACTGGGCCTTGAAATCTTGTTTCAAGATGGCGCCACACTGTAAGGTTGGTGGACAATGGAAGGCCGTGGTCTTTTAGAGGCCAGTTATCAAAGAGCCTTGCTTATTGTGTTGCGTTGACAAATTCCTTCCACTCACACTAAAACCTACCAAACTCAAGAAAACTGACACGAGGGGAGAATTCGTCATCGGCAACTTCTAGTAATTGGCCTTACAAAGAATATGGCCTTCCAAGGTCCTCGCAAGTAATATCGAAGTAGGATAGCACCCACAGATGATACGATAGACACTGCCGTTCATTTATGATTATACATTTGGTTATTTTCTAACATTGCTGGTAGACCACGGGGTGGAGACGTCAGACTAGCGGAGAAAACAAAATGGCTGCCGCAGTGGAAAAAAATGATACTGCAACAAGTGCACAGTGGCGGATTATAATAAAAAATACTACCGCACTCACATGAGCATATTTTTTGAACTGGTGATCTTTCTCGAACCCTAAAGGAGATACCCATATACACCTTCTTGTTAGTTCAGTAGACATTCCAAAAGAATAATGGAAGTGTTTGAAATGAAAAGTTGACCTTACAACTTGTACTGCTCCTCCTTCTACCATAGAGAATATGCGGGAGGAAATAACCAGCGCCTTTAGGCAATTGAGTGCTGAGATTCTAGAAAATGTCGAGCAGCATTTTTTAAAGAGAATTAAGCTATGCATGCAACATGGTGGCATACACTTTGACATCTAATTCAGTATTTATTTCATTTCATTTTCTTCTTAGGCTAAATAAACAATTGGCAGGCATTTATCGTTTTACTAGACAAATGGCGAAAAGCGCGATTTTATACGCAGATGAAAGCCACAGACTCATGAAGTGTTATATCAATCCAAAGGAAATTTGATTTTGTATCGAGCTGTGTTAAGAAAACAGGATGATGATGCAAAAAAATGTGATTTGGTAAAAGAAAGGAACTTTTGTAGTATGCTTCAAGTAGTACTTTTCAAGATGGAACCAACCGTGAAAATAAGAATGACGTATATTGAACAATTTTTTTTCCATCTGTAACGGCTTAGCCGCTGCCCTTCGCATGCGCTTAGCTGGCACACCCTGTATATCTACGGTCTACGATGATAGTAATAATAATAATAATAAATAATAAATGGCCTTTATTCGTCACATGATTACAAAATAATTGGCTTAAGAGGAATAGTGACGAAAAGGTGGAGTGTCAGCTTGTGCTGTTTTTCAACCGGACCTAAAAAATTGACACAAACTATAAAGAGAAACACAAATACCTACATTTAAATGGAACAGTTCACAACATTGACCACCCAAAAGAGAAAATCTTAAAATATTACACTTATCAGAAAAAGGAAACAATCAATTACCTGTGGATATGCGTGAAGTTAAATTCAAGCCATCCGATTGCTTTAAACTCATCTTTAATCTTTTTTTTAAATTGCTTAGGCTATATTCTTTATACTCACTTGAAAAGCAGTTATATAGTTTGGGTGCCCAGTATGAGAAACTGCGTGTGAACAATGCTGTCGAATGCCGCGAGATAAGTAAGATGCGTTTATTCCTAGAGGATCTTTGATGGTACTGACATACGAGGTTTAGCTTTGAATAAAGATAATATGGCGCTTTAAGGAGAAGGGTCTTATGTCTTAGAGATAGGCAATGCAGTTTCCTCAATTTATTCATCTTAAACCATCCCGATTGGTCAAAAGCGCTACTAATATGATCAAATTTACGGATTCCATAAGAAAATCTTATGCATGAGTCTTGTATCATCTGAATCCGCTCGGCATCACGTTGTAAGACAGCAGGTCCATAAACAGTCACCGTAAGATAATTTTGGGCAGGATAAGGGATTCGCAGAGTTTGAGCTTGAGCTGTTGACAGGACACTTCGACTCGGGTATAACTGACGAAGCACACTATAGGACGCATTGCATAGTTGGTTAACATGTTTAGCTTGCAGTCAAACCAGATATCAAGGTTTTTGCATTCGTTTACAAAGGACATATGTTCATTATTCACCATAATATTAATGCGATATTGATTTATTTCACGATTCTTTTTGAGAACAAATAAAATGCAGCAAGATTTGCCGGCATTCAGTTTTAGATTGTGAGCACCAGATATGTCAAAAATTGACTGCAGATCTTGATTGATTTGATGTTGGCCAAGCATATAATTCATCAGGATCAAAGCTGTTATAAAGTTGGGTATCATCGGCGTAATGATGAACGATTGAGTAGCTGGCGGTTTCATGAAAATCACATATATAAAGAGCAAATAAAAGAGGACTCAAAATAGATCCTTGAGGGACACCAAAATTTCTGAATAAAGATGTTGATATATTGTTTTCATATATGACCGACTGTGAGCGATCAGTTAAGTAGCTTCCAATCAGCGCGCAAGCCGATGAGGACAGGCCAAAGTATCTAAGCCTTTTACAGAGAATATTTGGGTCAACCGTATCGAAGGCCTTGCTAAAATCAAGAAGAACTAAGCAAGACAGCTTTCCTTGATCAGCCGCGCTATAAATATTATCCGATATAGACAGGAGCGCAGTGGTGGTGCTATATAATGGTCTGAAGCCAGATTGGGAGGTGGCGAGTAAATTATATTGACAAACAAATATGTGCAGCTGCTCATGTAGAGCCATTTCCAAAAGCTTAGATAGACCTGGTAAAATGCTTATAGGACGAAGATCAGAAAAACTTGAAGGATAATTAGACTTAGGCAGAGGGAGAACAAGAGCATTCTTCCAGGAGGAGGGATAAAGATTATTTGTTATACAAAAGTTAATAATGAAGGTAATATGCTTGAGCAAATGCTTATGTATTATACGGATCATATCAATTGTGATGCCATCTGAGCCTGTAGCATGACTTTTGATGCGATTGATAAATTTCTATACAGTGGCAGGGGAAACTGTCGTGAACAGAAAAGTACCATTATTCTTGACGTTTTCATATTTGTCTAAAAGATTTAATTGGGTTAATGTTTTGGTTATTTGAGGTACGTTTAAAAAAGCACGATTTAATGAATCGAGATCTTGAAGATGTCGAGGTAGACTTATGCAGTTATGTTTAACGATATTCAAAGATCTGAGTATATTCCATGTAGTCTTCGAATTTTTCTGTCTCATAACATAATCAAGGCAGGCTTTTTTCTCTCGCCTAATAGCACCACAAACATAATTTCTGATGTCCTGATAGAATTCCCAGTCGGCGATCGTTCTTGTACGTTTAAATTTTTGCGTCACTTTTTGTTCGCATCATGAATTTTATGTTGAATGTTCGCCAAGGAGCTGGTGGCTTGGTAACACGAATTTTTCTGACAGGAGCATGCGAGTTGAAGGTGCACAAGATATTAGAGCTCAGGAAGTCAATCGTTTGATCCACATCTCTCAACGTATATATAAAATCCCAGTTTATTAAAAGTAAATCATGGTAAAAATTGTCTAAACTCTACATTAAAAGTAGTGTAATCACGATATGTCCTCAGCTTACATAGGTTGCCCATCTCCGATGCACCTACATAAAATATTAGGGCCAGATGGTCAGATATTCCATCTACGTCAATAACTTCATAACCACTTATTATATCAGCAGAACTAACCATGAGCAAGTCTATAGCTGTCTGACTATTGGAAGTTATACGTGTGGGCTCTTTCACTAACTGAGACAGATCAAAGGACTCAAGAAAACAGTTCAGTATCTCGGATCAGCCGTCGTTCACTAAAACATTAATACTAAAATCGCCCATGATAATTGCGTAATCATTATCGAGTGAAAGGTTGGCTAAAGACTCAGTTAATTGATGAAAACAATCAACCACGTTTGGCGATGGTGGACGGTAGACTACAGCTAGACAATATTTGGGTTTATTAACAGTTACAGAGATCCAAAGTTCTTCCAATACTGTGGTGATATTAGAGTGCAATATTTTGAAGGTAATATCATTTCTCACATAAAACGCGACGCCTCTGCCTGCCTCAATGTCTGGAGTTAGCCAAGTCTCACTGATACCCAGGATATCGACAGCACAGTCAACAACATACTCCTTCAAAGTTAGAAAACCAGACTGAATTGACCTTACGTTGAAGCTCATGAATTTTAGATGTCTAGACATATTGAAAACAGGTAGAAAAACATATATAAAAAAAGTCTTCTAGCGAAGTTGGTTTGGATCTGGCGAAGGCTTATTCTTAAAGAGGAGCCAACATATTTTGCAAGTAAAATGAGTATAATCACGTGATAAATATATTAGATCTATACAGAATAAGGAATATACAATATTAATAAAAACACTCGGATAAACACAGAATAATAAATCGATAAAACAAGGTATAGGAAGGCGCTCAGCGTTTGTAAATTCACACAAAAACAAGACAAAACACAAGCACACACAATAGTTCAGTTACTTCGAAGTACTGCGTAGTTTAGGCCCTTTGTGTGAGGAAGTAGGGGTAGTTTTAGATGAGCCTGCTGGAACTACCTTGTTGACCTTGCTTGGTTCATCTTGCAGTCTCTTTTACTCCACTTTTCGTATCTTAAGGGATCAGTTGTTCTTCGGCATTTTTATCCTGCTTAGAGATAACTGTCTCAATGATTCCTTCATCCTGATGGTCGTCAATATCGTCATTCTGTATCTTTTCCCAGGTAAATAGGATATTGTTTTTATTAAACGCAGGTGCTGATGAAGTAATTTTCTCTTGGCGTATTCTTCTGGAATGTAATCGTTATCGACAAACAGGCCAACACCGATAACAAACATCTGTTCGGTTTTCCACCTGTGAATGATGGCAACAGCGTAAATATCATAACAAAAACATGCCAATGTCTGAAATGGAAATTTTGTAGCTAATAACGTCTGTCTCTATTTATCGTCGGTGTGTAGCACCACCCTGTATCCACCAGAGAGTGTGATTGCGTGTGCCGGGGCAGCAAGATACGGCCGTAAATCCCGATTTTTACGTTTCCTTTTTATTGAAATTACGCGGTTATTTAGTGCCATTACGCCGGATACAGCGTGGCGCGGCGCGGCAACGCGGCGGCGGCGCGTTCGATATTTTTGATTTGTTGCGAACCGGCGGCAGAGCGGCAACGCTGCAACGCGGATTCGCGCCCGCGTTTTGTCAAATTATATCGCGATCACGATTGTTTATTTTTATTTCATCGTTGCTAGTTTCCCCGGATTGGACATGAACGGCGCTGTGGACTAATTGGTTCAGTAGTAACAAGCTACAAGCAGAAAGTGAAGGCTTGAGGCCAGGGACAGGAAATTTAGGATTTTAACAAACGTAGGAGAAATCTGTAGAATGAAGTACTTAATAATAATAAATGGGCTTTATTTCGTACAAAGTACATTAAAGGCAAAGTGACCGGTGTGAAGTTGGCAGACAAAATTTAGCGGACAATTTGCCGAAGATACCCGAATGACCAGTGGCGTCGACATCCTCGATCAGACTGTGATTGTGAAGGATACAGCTAACAGCTCGCAACAATAAATATATATATATATGCACGAGAATAAGCACCCCTATAGGAAGAATCATTTTCCACCCTAATTAAATAATTGGTAGGAACAAGAGTTAACCCACAACCTTTCTTCGAGTTTTCACTTACCGATTACTGTATTGAAAGTAATTAATGAGCTAAATAGCATATACTGAGAAAATCTCTAAAGGGGTGCTAGATGAAAAAATATAAATAAAACTTCATTTTCACCCCCAAAAAAATGATTCCACAAAATGATTTATATCTCAAAAAAATACTCTATAACAGAGACAATTCATGGGCTAGGTGGCATGGTGTGAGAAAGCTTCTGAAAGGCTGGCAGATAAAAAAATATGCTAAAAAATTCATTTTCACCCCCAAGGAAATGATTCCCCAAAATCAGTTGTACCTCAAAGAAATAGTCTATTATAGAGACAATTTATAGGCTAGGTGGCATGGTGTGAGAAAGCTTCTGAAACGCTTGCAGATAAAAAAATATGCTAAAAAATTCATTTTCACCCCCAAGGAAATGATTCCCCAAAATCAGTTGTACCTCAAAGAAATACCCTATTACAGAGACAATTTATAGGCTAGGTGGCATGGTGTGAGAAAGCTTCTGAAAGGCTGGCAGATAAAAAAATATGCTAAAAAATTCATTTTCACCGCCAAGGAAATGATTCCCCAAAATCAGTTGTACCTCAAAAAAATACCCTATTATAGAGACAATTTATAGGCTAGGTGGCATGGTGTGAGAAAGCTTCTGAAACGCTGGCAGATAAAAAAATATGCTAAAAAATTCATTTTCACCCCCAAGGAAATGAATCCCCAAAATCAGTTGTACCTCAAAGAAATACTCTATTATAGAGACAATTTATAGGCTAGGTGACATGGTGTGAGAAAGCTTCTGAAAGGCTGGCAGATAAAAAAATATGCAAAAAAATTCATTTTCACCCCCAAGGAAATGATTCCCCAAAATCAGTTGTACCTCAAAAAAATACTCTATTACAGAGACTACTCATAGGCTGGATGACATGGTGTGAGAATGCTTCTGAAAGGCTGGCAGATAAAAAAATATGCTAAAAAATTAATTTTCACCCCCAAGGAAATGAATCCCCAAAATCAGTTGTACCTCAAAGAAATACTCTATTATAGAGACAATTTATAGGCTAGGTGGCATGGTGTGAGAAAGCTTCTGAAACGCTGGCAGATAAAAAAATATGCTAAAAAATTCATTTTCACCCCCAAGGAAATGAATCCCCAAAATCAGTTGTACCTCAAAGAAATACTCTATTATAGAGACAATTTATAGGCTAGGTGGCATGGTGTGAGAAAGCTTCTGAAACGCTGGCAGATAAAAAAATATGCTAAAAAATTCATTTTCACCCCCAAGGAAATGAATCCCCAAAATCAGTTGTACCTCAAAGAAATACTCTATTATAGAGACAATTTATAGGCTAGGTGACATGGTGTGAGAAAGCTTCTGAAAGGCTGGCAGATAAAAAAATATGCTAAAAAATTCATTTTCACCCCCAAGGAAATGATTCCCCAAAATCAGTTGTACCTCAAAAGAATACCCTATTATAGAGACAATTTATAGGCTAGGTGACATGGTGTGAGAAAGCTTCTGAAAGGGTGGCAGTTAAAAAAATATGCAAAAAAATTCATTTTCACCCCCAAGGAAATGATTCCCCAAAATCAGTTGTACCTCAAAAAAATACTCTATTACAGAGACTACTTATAGGCTGGATGACATGGTGTGAGAAAGCTTCTGAAAGGCTGGCAGATAAAAAAATATGCTAAAAAATTAATTTTCACCCCCAAGGAAATTAATCCCCAAAATCAGTTGTACCTCAAAGAAATACTCTATTATAGAGACAATTTATAGGCTAGGTGGCATGGTGTGAGAAAGCTTCTGAAACGCTGGCAGATAAAAAAATATGCTAAAAAATTCATTTTCACCCCCAAGGAAATGAATCCCCAGAATCAGTTGTACTTCAAAGAAATACTCTATTATAGAGACAATTTATAGGCTAGGTGGCATGGTGTGAGAAAGCTTCTGAAACGCTGGCAGATAAAAAAATATGCTAAAAAATTCATTTTCACCCCCAAGGAAATGAATTCCCAAAATCAGTTGTACCTCAAAGAAATACTCTATTATAGAGACAATTTATAGGCTAGGTGACATGGTGTGAGAAAGCTTCTGAAAGGCTGGCAGATAAAAAAATATGCTAAAAAATTCATTTTCACCCCCAAGGAAATGATTTCCCAAAATCAGTTGTACCTCAAAAAAATACTCTATTACAGAGACTATTTATAAGCTAGACGACAAGGAGAGATAGCAGATAAGAAAAATAAGTTATAATTCATGTTCACCTCCAAGGAAATAATTCCCTAGAATGCGACATAGCCCAAAATTTCTGAAATTAGTGGACCAGATCACGCTATATGGTATCTACTAAAGAAAGGGCAGGCAAATGTATATATTAATGGAAACTTATTATATCTAAGTGAAGCATTTAGTTAGTTGGCTCTGCAGAGGTCACATATTTTATTACGCATTTTCTCGTTTACGTCTATATTTTTCTCCAATTCTGCTGCTGTAAGGAGACACTTCAAATGTATGTTTCTTCTACAGAGCCTACAAGCGAAAATACAATCTGCCTTGTCTCGAGCTGTGGAACAGGCACAGAATAGGCAAATATCCGTCATAACTGAGCTGTTGCGAAGTAACATCCACTTGAAATTTATCCTTTGTTCATCTATATCAACTTGACAGTCCAGCCTCATGTTCTTGGCAAGTTTTTGGAAAAAATGTATTATATAGACACCGCAGTTAAAACCATCTTTTTGTATAACGTGGTCTGGTATTTTAAAATTGAACTTGGTTATGCTTATGTTTTTATACCTCAAAAATGTTGACAGTCTTTCACAATAAGTATTTTTGAAGAGTAACTCATTACCCATGGGATCAAGAAATGTCACTAAATTTTCCGTGATAGAGAAAATCAGTAATGTGTAATGATTATTTTGGAGAACTGGCATAACTATCAAATCTTTGGTGAACGTAATGCTTTCAACGAAGGAAATGGGATAATTGTTGTCAGAAAATATTATCGATGATTTCTAAACTGAAACGATTTGGAATTTGTTGCCGCTGGATCTATTGATTGTGTGCAGGCAGTGATCTACGACGAAATTACTTAGATACTGCCTATCATCCAGTGTAGCAAAATCGTCCTGAAGCAGCTCTTTAATTGAAAAGTACAGATCTCTGTTTACTAATACTACGTAACCCCTTTTATCCGGCTACTGTCGGTAGAAATAAATGTTTTCTACCAAACCGTTATCCATAACTTTTATTGGTTCGGCAGTTGTCCACTTTCTTTGTGACTTGGATAGGTTTGAAAAATTTAGAACAGAAGGTAATAGATGGAACAAGTAAAACGTTCTCAATTTTTTAAGCATTATCGTCCAAAACTTTTTATTCCTGGTCACTCGCAGGACTTTGGCACCTTTGAACGTATAAATGACTAAATCGCACCAATACCGATCAGTTATTTCAAGTAAACCCTGTATTTGGTAATGGTAATTATGTATCCCTCGAATAGATTCTCCATTCTTATTCAGAAAGTC